TGAGACAAAAAATGCCCCCTCACATTGGTGTCCTTGGAGGCAGGTTCCATGTGTGGCCGGTTGGGGTTGCCGGTAGTCAATTTTTTCTTACCATATAATTTGTTAGTGATAGCATTTTTCTTAACTAGTTTAACTAAAGCAACAAATATTCCTCTAAAGATAGACACATCGACAGCACTTTCAGAAGAAGAAACTACACAAAATTAATCCCAAGGTAACCAACTATTTCGTGTATTATTCATGATGAATAACCCTAAATTCATCATGAAAATATGATGTATTTTCATTATGAATAATTTTATCGGGAATATCTATCACAACATCTATAGTGAATAATTTTCATTATTTGAGGTTATTTATCATGAATAATACATGAAATATTTAGTTCCCCGGTTCTCAAAATATTTACGGTTCTCATTTGAACCCACCCTTGCAAAGTCATTACCGTCGAGTTACTTTTCCTTCCAGGCTTATTTTCAGCATCTTTTCTTTTCCTGTTGTTGAGAAATGCTTGGCCGATATTTTGTATACGCACACTGTTTATATACTTCTTCTCCACTACAGAATTCAAGCCCGTTGAACTACAGTGGAAGGCCGCTGGGAAGGGGCAAGACAATTGTTCCTCGGCGTCCAAAAATTGTTGCATTACGTACTTTCTCCTGAGGACGGATGAAGTTTAGAAAAGTACGAAACGTGTTGCAAGTTTTATCATGGCCCTTGTAATACTTTACCTGATAAAATCAGAACGCTCATCTGTTGAAGAATCTGGTTGTGGTTTTCTACGGTTGTCTGGAATGCTGGCTTCATATTTGAAATTTACTGCGGTGTTTCCACCCAATTTTATCACGTTATCAACATCTTCCTCTGTCCACTCGTCTAGATTCACTGATAATATCTGTGCCAAGAAGTTCACGGTTGGTTAATTTGGACACTACAGCCATACGATATGAATCATGATTCAGACCGAAATGTAACATGAAGTTATATAGCTCGAAAATGAGATATAGAAAGAGAAAGAGAAGAAATGGGCTTGCACTTTAATAAAACGACTTATTAGTATTTCATAGAAATTAATTATACAAAATAAACAATGTAGATTTTGTCAAACGTATGAAAAGTGCTAACAATCGGTATATGTTAGAAGGGTTGGGTTCCGATGAGAATAGAACAACCCCTTATCGTAAGAAGGTGATAAAAAGTGAAGGTATCCTTATATCGTGTGAAAGTTTGTCGTGATAAATGTAAAGATACCTTTATAATTTGTGAAGGTTACAACATTCAAAAAATAATGTAACCCTTCCAATACACAATATCAGGTAACATTCACACGACTTCTGTAAGTATTTTCACTTTGTTATCACCTTCTCTCTTTTGTAAGTATTTTCACTTGTTATCACTTTCTCACGCAAGTGAAAATTTCTCTCATGATCCTGAATCTATGTTAGAATGGGCATACTATGTAACTATGTAAATTACTAGGACTTCATCATTATGATTTTTAAAGGGCTTATTTTGTACGTATTTATGGACAAATTTTGTAAATGAGGCAACGAGTGATTACCACACCTTTGATATATGCACTCCGAGGCTTCTATGTACTCCTGAACACTTGATGCAGACAAATGCTCCAAGGTTTGCAGATCTAGTCAAACCAACAAGGTGCATTTTCAGTTAAAGCAAAAATACAAAATAGATTATAGCTTAATGTTCTATATGAATTACTAAAACTCAATTAGTTTAGATGTCGAATGACAAAACGAATTACAATTTGTAATGGTAATATATTGTGTCGGAGTCACGCATCAGCTAAGCATGAACCATATACATATAGGAACCTCTGGGCTCTTTTAGAGAGAAATTCAAAGGGTGGAATCAGAGTCAAGGTCTACCACCACCTAGGGACTCGACACACTCTTTCGCCCCCCTTCTTGGAGGAACCGTCTAACCCTCCACTTGAGTAGACATATAGGGGTACCACATCGGCTAGACATGAATCATCAAACCTGTATATATGTAGGAATCTCCCTCCTCTCTCTCTCTCTAAAGGCTCTTTTAGAAAAAGAATCAAGGGTTCCACATATCCTCACATGGTATGAGACCTAGGGTCTAGCACCCGTAAGGGCTTGACACGGTATTGCGCCTCCGTTCTTGGGCGCACTGTCTAGCCTTCATTTGAGGGGGCGTATTGGAGTCCCACATTGGCTAGACAAAGGCAATCAGACCTTTATATATGTAGAAACTTCCCCCTTTCTATATGGGCTCTTTAGAGAGAATTCAAAGGGGTTCCACATATCCAAACATCCTAATAGTGAGTTACGGTGATTAACATAAATGATACATGGTTCTTAAATTTCATGTTTTTGTGAGAAGGGCCCGTTTATTTTGAGACTAAGGAAGTAAGTTACCTTTCATGGAGGAAGACTCGAATAGGAAACTTGAAAAAGATCGATCACAAAGAACATATGACCATGATGGATATTGTTTGTGTAACACATGTACTAGTGCAACTTAACTTGAAACAAGTGGAAAAATAAAATTTCATTTAGTCCAAGCTTAGCACTTACACCCATTTTGGATTCGGAGATCCACAATCTGCACACAAGTCATTACCAGATTCAGACGAAAAACTTGCCAGCCTATGTTTTGCACCTGATCACGTTGCAACACAAACAACCAACGAGTTAGTTATATCCAATGAATAGAGTTCATCCTAAAGCTGAAGATATGCCATTTACAACAAACAGTATAATACGTACATGATCACATTAATAATTTACATAAATTCACTTTGTCAGAAGCAGTAACCATCATTTTGTGGGGCTGATTATAGATGTGAACATAGAAGTTTTGAGTCTGCATAGAACATGATGCCCTATGTAATAGAAACTATGTGCCAAGTAACGTAAACAATAAGGAGGTTGTGATGTTATCATATTAACTTTGATTTGATAGTACAATGCTATAAATAACAAAAACTGCAAAGACACTAATTTTGTAGTGTCGATATGTTTTTTTTATTAACCTGGATATCTGACCCGCTATGCGAGCTGACTAATCCCAGGGCAACCACCAGCTTTGCGGGTAGCCCGGAGTCACAGCATTTGAACCTCCGTGGCCACAAGGGATTTTTATTCCTCCTTGGATTTGAACCTGGGACCTCCTGGCACTTTTGTAGTGTCGATGTTTGGGGTTGACAAAGGGAGACGAAATTGGATCTACGTTCTTTGATTTCCTCTTGGTGATAACGGAGGGTCAGTGACCCTCTAAATCTATCTTTGGTCTCTGCTGCATAAAGACTCCATATCCTAAGACACAGCCAGATAAGATTCATGTGACGAACAAAAGGAAGACAAAAGGAAGAGTGTATATGTGGTCATATTAAGTGGGTGGTGCAATTCATAACTCGGGCATGTGATGCATGCTGTTAAGTTGTAAGCCAAAGGTATTTGAACCATCAATATGATCACTCTAGGTTTTCTTTACATAGAAATATAGAATTCTTTGTAAATAGATATTAGTTAAGATTCATTCTTAATCATAACTAGTTTCACCCTATAGAAGATTAGAATCTTTTTTGAGGTTAATTTCCTTTTGTAGTTGGATTCCTTTCCTGTTTTCAAGGGCCCTAAGTGTATAAAGGCCTTCTGCCCTTATTCTTTGAAAAAAGAATAAAGGCCCTCGGGCGTGTAGCTCAGTTGGCAAAAGGGCGGAACAACTTCGTTCAAATACACAACAAGTTCAAATTCAAATCCTGCGGGAGACGAGCTAGCCGCTGAGTTAACTTTGAAATGCCTCCTTACATGTGGTTCCTAGGGGGGTGGGTTCCATGTGGGACCAGTCGTGGTTGCCGGTATTCAACCTTTTGCTCAAAAAAGAACAAAGAATTCCACATGGTATCATAATAGCTCTGATCCCTACTTTTTTCTCATGCTACTCACTCCTTGCTGCTACATCTCAATCACAGCAGGCAACATCTTCTGTTGTCGTCTCTCCTCATGTCGTTTGGTGGTTGGCCCCCATCCCATTAATTTTCTCTACTCTACTACACAAGAAATTATGGATTCTGCCCAAAAATATGAACTTCAAACACTACCGAATTATTTGTCATCAAAAAATACATACCATGATTCCGTAAAGGAGAATGACCTGCCATTGCCTACTACAACTTGCTAACTCGGTATCGGCAACAATTGGATCCTTACAGAGTGCCCCAAAGATCAAACTACAATTCAGAAAATGTTTTGAATGAAAAGAATATTTGAGTTCCTTATGGGACACAACAAGGACTTCAATGAAGTCCTATGACGAATTCTACGAATCAAAGCAAGGAATTGTGCATCAAAGCTCATGTGTTGACCCCTTAGCAAAATGGGGTTGCCGAGAGGAAAAATAGACACTTACTTGAAACTGCTTGTTCCCATTTCCTTCATGTCTAACATTCCCAAACACTTCTGAACAGATGGAATTCTCACAACTACCTATCTCATACTTGAAACCGATCGTTCCCAACTCGTATTTTGAAATCCAAATCCCCATGTCAGTTCCTTCGATAGTCCTTTCCTCACATTTCAGATATACCTCCAAAAAAATTGGGTGTACAACCTTTATTTCGTTCACACCACGGAAGCAAACTTGACCCTTCCTCCAAATGCATCTATCTCAGCTATTCTCCAAATCAAAAAGAGCATAAATATTACCCTTCTAAACAAAAAAATTCACCTCATTGATGTCACATTATTTGAATATACACGATGCCACATGATTGTTCAAGGGGGAATATGACTAAACATCCTCTCATGAGTGAAGCTATTCACACTAAGCAAATCCAATCACAAAGCCTTTCTCCACATTATTATAGTAACCCAAAAAGATCCTAATTCTCTGCGTGCATGTGGCAAAAATTGAACCTTCCCTAACAAGTTGCACCCGGACTTCAGCTGATCGTTCAACCAACTATACATTACCAACAAAAGTTACACATATCATCTCGTCTATTCCAGAAAAGGAAGTGCATACAGACTGTACGATCTCAATCTGAATAGTTCTCAAGGTATGCATCCTAATAAGGCTACTAATATTGATAACTCATAACTACATATTACCCTAAGGAAGGGAGTTCGGACATGTACGTCACGTATAAATGATTTTTTCTTAAGGATTTGTCAACAACCTCTGATACATGCCATCACAACAACAAACTATAAACATCCAAATCGAAGCTATTCAAAGATCTATTTTTTAAAACGTATGATTCCGAGCCGTGAATGATCAATATATCCTCCCAACTTGAGGGGTGTGTAGAAATATATAATTCGTTGTAAATAGGTATTAGTTAGTGTGAGAATATGTGAAACCCCATTAGATTACTCTCCAAAAGGACCCTTGAGACGAGAATGGAGGTTCCAACGTATATAGAGGAGAAATGGTCCAAGTCTATCCAATGTGGGACTCTAACATGCCACCTCCAACGGAGGCTAGGCAGGCATAAATTGTCCCAGGGTTTTGAGAGGGGGCTAGATGAGAACATACAGGGTCTCGAGTCCCTATAGTGGTAGACCTTGGCTCTGTAACCATGTGAGAATATGTGGATCCCCATTAGATTACTCTCCAAACCATTGAGGAGAAAGAGGTTCCAACATACACATAAGAGGAACTTTCCAAGTCTAGCCGATGTGGCCTGTGGGACTCTAACAGTTAGGATTTATTATTTATTATCATCATTTAAAATATTATAATCTTATTTTTAAGTTAGTGCCCTTTGTAGCGTGATTCCTTTCTTGTTTTCCAGGATCCTTAAGTGTATAAAAGATCTTGTATCCATCTCTTTTGAAATAAGAAGAACAACAAATTTCAGACTTCTTTCTACAACTGAAGGGGAAATGGAGGATTGAAGCCAATGACCTCCAAGGTACTACCACTTAAGGGATCACCAAGATTATTTAATTGATATAACTTCTTTGCTAACAGAAAGGTAGAAAAAGCATGATGAGGTAGCATTAGTCGATATCAGTTTTAGAGAATCAGATGCTATGGAAACTAGAAAGAAGTGAGCAAAATACACAAAAAGTAGAGGTATACTATTGCATCAGCCTATATGCATAGCATACATAATGTATTCCACTGTATATGTTACTATCAGCCTTTTCAGACAAATGTCACTTTATATTTTGTAACATAAAGATCTGGCTGTAAACGTTAATCATATGGTTCAGAAGCAAACTGAACCCTAGAAAAATATAGAATGGCAACAGTTCGAAGCAAGTTATAAACCTAGAGAATCTCCAACGGGTGCAGAAAAGTTTTAAAAAAATTTAATAAAGAATGTAATCATACTGTTAGATGGAGATGGTGTTTGTTCATCTAACTCGTCACTTCTGTTTTCTTGTTCATGCAAATGTAAGAGGTCATAGAGGCTAGTTCCTGCAATAATAAGTGTACTGATCAGGGGTCAAACCGCCACAAATAAAGTAAATTTTGGAATTGAGGAAAGCTAGACATACACAGCAATAACTGGCAACTATCATCATACATATTATGTGTCCAACATTCGTATTTCATTTCTATCAATAGTAAAAACATGAATCCCAAATCCCGATATTTCATGGTTATTTCTAAATACATGCATAAAACATGTCACCTGTAATAGCATGACAAATTCATTTCTTTAAAGTTTGGATTTTATCTTCCAGATACGAAAGCATCACTTACAACAGAGGGGAATAAAAGGTGAATTGAAGAGCTTTAGCAATTATTGAATTAAACTCCACTAAATCCAACTTACAAGTAAGATGCTTCTTTAATATTAACCTCTTGGTATAGCCAGTTTAGGTGATGGTTAAAACAAAAAAAATTAAGTGCATCTGAGAAGGCATCACATTGAAGAAAGGCAGTGGTGGTTAGTTTTCCTGGTGTATTCTCATTGTTACATAAATATGCAAGGAATCCATAAGCCATTCCCACAATTCTACTCTTCTATTATTATGTGTCCACCTTGTCCTTGCATGGTGTTATTGTATAGGGTTATGCCTTTGGAATAAGATCAAGTGTGATTTTAGGGTTGTGAAAAGTGGGTTTATGCAATTGATGCTGGCAAAATTCAAGTAAGGGTGATGAAAGCAAAGACAAGAACACACTAAGAACAGTTACTGTTTTGACATATGCTTAGTAATTTCATTTCTAAGATGAGCAACCTTTGTGAAAACTAATAGTAATTTTTAAGGGTGAAAATAATTTGCTTCCATGGAAATTAGTTGATGAAATGGGGTTTTAATGTTTTTTAAGAGGGTTTGCTATGTGATCTAAAGAAGAAACAAAGTAATTGACGTTTATTTTGTTCGACTTTGGTGCTAATTTGAACTTTCTTAAAGTGATGGCAAGTGGGTTTGGTTGGTATTTTGCATTCAAAAGGAGGTACATAATACCAACCAAACATGCTTGTCATCACTTTAATAAAGTCAAAGTAGCACCCAAGTCGTACAAAGATAAACATCAATTATTTTGTTTCTTCCTTACATCACATAGCAAACCCTCTTAACAAAAATTAAAACCCCATTTCATCAACTGATTCTCATAAAAATCAAATTGTTTTCACCTTTTAAAAAATACTATCATTTTTCGTAACCAAATTCTTGGTGCTCATGGAAATGAAATTACTAAGCATATGTCAGAATAAATGAATAATAGCTGTTCCGTTGTCTTCTTTTCTTTGCTTTCATTACCCCCACTTGAATTTTGCCAACATCAATTACATAAACAATTTTCCACAACCCTAAAATCAAACTTGATCTTATCCCAAAAACATAACCCTATACAAAATAAATTGCAAAACCTAAAAAAAAGAAGAATTTGTCATTACCTGGTACATGGTCGTCATCCGTCTCTTCATTCTTCGCATACATTCTTCCTCAACAATTTAAATACAGTAATAGATGGATAAACATTCGATTTTTCTACAATTTTTATCTGCATTATACATAGAAATTAATCACACAATCCACCGACTCCCCTTCTGCAGAGTTTATTACGAAATTTAAATCAAACTGCAGGTGTATTTACCGTTCTGGATACCTGCATATCAGCAACATATAAGAACAATGTAACAGGTTTTGCTTCATGGGAAAAAAAACAGAGTTGAAATTTGGAGGGAGATGACGATGATCCGTGAATCAAAATATTAGAAAATTGCAAGGATTTGGACTTTTTGTGATTATGTATCAAAAAAATTGAATTTATTTTGATATTTTTGAAATAAATGTAGGAAATCTTGACAAAAAAATTGAAAATTCAGAAGAACAAAACCTAATTTTGGTTGGGTTTTGAAAAAATTAAATTTCTTGCCTTAGTAGTTGAGGGTTGCATGTTGGTGGAAGATTTCGTGGTGTTTCTTCCGGTTGGATGTCTTATCTTTGGCAAATTACTGATATTACCTTCAAGATTTACATATTGTGCAAAAACGCCCCTTTATTTTTATTATTTACAATATGCATCTATTTTTCGTGTTTAGGCTATGTTTGGCAAACTAGTTGATAAGCTAGCTGGTAGCTAATAAGCTAGTTGATGACTTATAAGCAACTTGGTGGATTTTCATGTACAATATGTTACAAATTTTTCATGTATAATTGTTACATGCAAATATGTAAGGTAAACGAAAGGTTATGACAACTGATATAGAAGACCAAATGAGTTCTGGTGGTGATTTGTAACTATATTTAAGTCATCATATTCTATTGAAATAATAGCCTTGAAAAGCATCATATGAACTATCCAGACCATGACTTTCCATATATCGTAATAGTTGTAATTAAGTGTGAATTTGTCAAACCACATCTGTTCTAATTTCTATCCAAGTCACACTACTAATATATATAAACAAAATTTAATGCACATTGGCACATAACACATGTATATACCTTAGTTTCTCAAAATCAACTTGTAAGCTCACCTTGAGGTCATGTTTTGCTACAAAATTATGAACTTGATATGATGTCCTACTTCAGAACTTCTATAACCTTAAAAATATTGTATTATAAATAATGTATGTAGTTAAATATTATATAATCCACATATATGTATAAGATAAAGATTTTGTGTATCGGACATGACTCGCTATGACAACACTACATGGAATATCATATGAGTATCATAAGTGTTTCATATGTGATCATAGTATAGTAACATCATTTGACTTGACGATATTGAGATATACTATGATTAAGTAGTACGCTTTGATACTATCTCTAATCACCTCATAACATGGTGACAAAATAGTCATTGGGTGTATGATAATACCATGAGATGAGACTTGCATTATTAGATATAAGATTTGTCCCTACTATTTGACAAGAATACTGCTTCTAGGCCACTTTATAAATGAGTTGAAGAAATGCATACATGCTTAGATAGAAGATATGTGATATTGGAATCTCTTATTTATTCATTCCATTTAGAGAACAAGAAAGCAAATATTGGACTTAACGAGCATGCACAACCCATATCTCGAGTTCGAATATAGGCACTTAAGACAAGGTGATATGTTCATACACTTTATAACGAGTCTGTTTATTGACTGAAACACCAAAATTTATCATTTGCGTAATGGTGATGTATTGTTAGATGTTGCTCTTCTTTTACGATTATAAATTTTACTCATAATTATTTTCAACATGATAAAGTATCAGTGAGTCATACACATAGGACATATCCAAATATAATTAATTAAAATAGTTTTAAATATTTAATTACATTGTAACATCCCCGTCCCGTGTGGTTAAAATTGGGAGATGCCACAATTGGTTTAAAAAAAATACAACGCATTATATAAAACAGAGCAGCTAATAAAATTTACCAAAATATAATTACATAACCACAAACGAAGATAATGTGTCTCAAAATACGGTCTCAATTACAAGTATATCTACATTAGTCATCAAAAGTTAACAAAAATATGACGTAATGGGTTATCTTTAGTATTCTTATCTTTGTAGCTCTCACCCCAAAATTTCTGCTAAGTCATGTACCTGTCGAGGACAAAAAAATCTCGGCTGAGCTTATGCTCAGTGAACGGATAATAATAACTAAACAATGAATATGATATAACAAGTTCAAAAGCAATTTATAACGTTAAATGATAATCCAAAGGAAAGTCAAAATGCCCCGAAGGCATGTCAAGGGTCCGAAGACCAAACCGCATCACGAGGACGCATTGTTCCCGAAGGATGATCAGTCCTTGTCATGCCCCAAATTTTTTGTTTATTTCGTTCGAGTATCGTGATGTCATTCTTAATAACTTATGTCATGAACAAAATATGAACTTAAAAATTCAAACATACATAATTCGTTATATAATTACGGAAGCGTAAAATACTTTAACGTAATCAATGTTAAATAAATATAATTAATCAAGCATGATTCAAAACATAGTTTTCTTTTTCTTCATTCAACTCGTCTACTGACAATTGATACTTGAGATATATGCATGTATAGTATAAGCTAAAAGCTTAGTGAATACAATATGGTTTCATGTCCAAGACTTCGGAATTGCAAGCCCTCTTTTCATGTCCAACCCACCCCGTACGGTGGACGAATCTTGCCGAATCATACTAGTTGCATATCATTTATTTGCAATACTCACTCATTAATGCAAATCTCATCGTGACATGCGACATACATCTCATGCAAGTGACAACATAAATCACATATGCATCATCGTCATTTTTCACATTATACACATACTTGAATATCATATTGATAATATCAAATCATCATAATCTTTCTCATCAACATCATTTTTCATATCATGCATATACTTAAATATTGTAACACCCTCATTTTAATCAAGAGAGATGTCACGTAATCTGAAACATTTCCTTAATAAATACACCAAAGTAATGGCTAATTTAAAACCATTTAAACTATTACAGCGGAAGTCTTTGGATCGTCAAAATCTAACTTAAGTTCTAACCCACCTTCTCTTGGGGTTAAGTTACAAAAGATCATTA